CTAATCTATTTGAGTAGCTTGTATGGGAAAACTTTTCTCTGGCCCATTTAAATGGTACGCATCAACAATGCGTGTTACGAATACTACAAAATCAATGTACAACGACAAAAGTGCCCATATCATTCTAACCAGTTTCTGCGACAATGCGGAAAAGGTAGAACAAAGGGGAACTTGCAAACTGCGAACATTCATCATTTAAAAACATAGGTGTGAAGCCCTACTTCAAGGCACAGGTCTCAAAAACAAAACTAACATCGACTGTCGAGCAATTTGAAAAAGAAAACGAAGTTCCTTTAGCTAAACATTTTAAATCACTGGGATGTAGCGCTGCAATATCTTAAAGATCGATTTCGATTAAACCTCAATAAGAATAATCGATAGTTCTCCTTACGACTGGGCTGATATGAAGTTAGTTGCAAACTGATAGCAGGATCAAAGTTGCGCACAATAATAACTACATTCACGCGTCAAAAATGCACCATAGCAATGTGTTATTAAAGTGAATTTTCACCGAATAATCCAACCGGTCTGAGATCTTGTAATTAACATTGTGACTCATTCACTCGAAATCCGTCATTCCAACGGAAAAAGAAACGCCGTGCGAAGCAGAAGGAACAGCAGCAGCACCCCTCTAGAGAAGTTCTCCAGTGCCAATAGCTTTTGTTGGCTATTATGAACAAATGTATCAACAATACACAAAATGAGTAAACTCGGTTTGTACGTCACACTGCAGACTATATATATATATATATATATATATATATATAACTACGGTTATCACCTATGTATTACTCTGTGCGGCTGCTATCCACCAACTAACTCAAGTACTTACAACAAATAGACGGCCCTGAAGAACGCGAAACCGCCGAAACGTCAGCTATTTTATCCTAATAAATTCTAATAACAACCTCATGCCTGCTTATTAAAGAAAAACATCGAATTATATATATGTATATATATAAATATATGTACACATGCACACACACGCGCACTCACACATTACATACATACACGTCCCCATACGCATACACATAAACATATACACACACCATAAATACATATACACATATACGTATATATATATGTATATATATATGAATAAAAAAAGAAAGCTCTCGGCGCTGATCAACCCTGAGGGATGCGCCTTGCATTCGACTTCATTCAGCAACGTTGGAGATAACTGAATGCATATATGGCCTTTACAATGACTCGCAGTGGCCTACTGTTTTATCGAGCCAGTGCTGCTATCCTCCCAGAAAAGTTTGGTACGAATTCCCCGAACCCGGAGGGATGCATGGTTGGTGAGCCATCGGCGCGGGGCCTATCCCATGTTTGTATTGCAGGGCGCCTCCGATTACTGCGTCACGCGGGCCACGTATATGTATATATATAGGGCTTGAGGTACACATCAGAAGCCACCCGCTTTTACAATAAACAGCATAAGTACAACTACTAGAGCAGTTCGAAGCGTGAAATCACAAAGGTTCGTTTGAAGAATGTTTGCTAAATGACGTGCATGTCACTTAAAGGACTGGAGTCAAATTGAACAGAGAGACTAGACAAGCTGTGCCTGGTTAAACTTTAGACTACCATCATCAAAGTGATAATCGCTATCGTATAAGGTGCAATCATCCGTATAGTTTTAAACATTTTTATCATCTCGCACTAAAATATTTACATCCAACACACTGCAGAAGTTCTAGAACTGAGAAACTTCAGACACTAGGTAAGATTTTCGTATGAAGAGCAAAAACTTAAAAAAGTGATTTCACTCCTATTCTACAATACAGAAATCTAAAATGTCATAAGAAAACTATACAGAAAATACGAAATATTCAAGGCAAATACATCCACTCTTGTTGAGAATGGCTTGCTTTCTGTGAGTATATCTACCTTCCATGTTCAGATCTCAGCAAGCTACACGTAGATATCTAAAAAAAACACAGTACGGCAAATGGGCTTCATTCCCCGGACTCCGGAAGAGTCCTCAATTTCGCAGCGCTTGGCAGAACGAGTACAGAGAGACTGCCAAAATCTCAGGGCCATTTTAGGCCGCTTAAACCGCAAAAGACGACCTGTACCCTCAATGCAGGTACACTTGCATGAGAGTTATAAATACAATAGATCATGCAGGCAAGAGAGATAAAGTGTGACTTCAGCGAACGTTGCGATTTCCCGAAGTTAGTGCTTGAGACGAGAAAACGTAGACCATTCAGCGCACCCAACATGGACTCACCGACATGCAGGAAAAGATCAAGCGCGCAAAAGGGATAGGGTGTGAGTCAGTGGACGGTACGATTACTTGACGTTACTGGCGAAGACGAGAAGACGTAGCCCCATCAGCGCACTCAATCATACCGGAGAAGAACAGCAGCTTAAATCGCAGACTGAGGTGACGACCTGTACCTGCAATGCAAACCAACTCGCATCTGAGCCCTCCATAGAATACTTGGCCATGAAGGCAAGAAGAACAAGTTACGACTTCGTCGGATTTGCTGAGATGAGAAGACGCTACCCATTCAACGCTGTCTGTGACACAGGAGGCGAACTAGTCCTCGTAATATGCTACAATACAGGAGTCGAAGACGTCGGCTTTCTCGTCAGCACGAATTTAACCATAAACATCTAATCATTCGAACTACTGAATCGTACGCTTACGATTGACGAGGATAATAAAGGATAAAAAAGCTCTCGGTGTTGATTAATCCCTGAGGGAAGCGCCATGCATTCGATTTCATTAAGCTTCGTTTAGAGGGGGAGGGGGGGGAATGCATAGCTGGCCTTTACAATGACTCGTGGTGGCCTACCGATGTATCGAGCCAGTGTTGTTATCCTCCCAGACAAGTCTGGTAGCAATTTGCCGACCCTGAAGGGATGGAAGGCTTGGTGAGCGAACTTGCAAAACAATGCATACATGTGATAAAAGCAGATCTTAAAGACAGAAGAGCAGCTGTTAACCTGGGAAAACACTTGCAAAGCCCACAGTAGCTTCGCCAACTAGAAAACCAATATGATTGTACTCTGATGCCCAGACGGAACAGTTACAGCGCTCACAAAAGCAATAGAGAAAAATTATTCACGATTAATATTCGGATCTCAAAAACAGCCATGTATTTTTACCATCATAAGAAATGAAGGACCATGGCTATGTCATCCTACTGGTTCAAAAACAATACCGGGTCCAGACAGGATAAGATCTGAACACCAAAAGAACCTTCCACTAGTCCTCGTAAACACACTGGCTCAGCTATTCATATGTTACCTGTCAGAATGCAAGGCCTCTACTCAATGGAAGACCAGCAACACTGTCCTTGACCACCACGATATCGCCAATTATCGCCGAATCAGCTTACTGACTAGCTGGACGTCTACAAACCCTTCACTTCTAAACAAGATTGATAGAACACTGGACGAACTACAGCCATGCGAGCAAGCAGGATTTCGAAAAGGATTCAGTACGATCGACCACATACACGCGATAACAACACTCATTGAAGTATCGCGAAAGTACAAAAGACCGCTTTGTCCCACTAAAGAAAGCTTTTAATTCAGTTCAGATAGAAACTTTTCGAAGCCCTGGACAGTTAAGGAGTCCCTAGTTAGTGTGTAACGATTCCTTATGAGCTATATAGAAATTTAACAACTAAAATATCATCATTCTACAACGACATAACATCGACGTATAGATTTTTTTCGACGAATAGATTGGTTTCGCATGACTCATTCACACTCTATGGGCTATCTCTGAATGCTCAAGAGACGTCTGTCCAGGTCGGGAAATTAACATGGTGAACGCCTGAGGTCCAGAGTTGCGCATGAAAAAGCGAATGGCTCGGGAGCTTTCAAGAGCAACGAGGATGTAGTGAGGAGAGCACAGAACACTCGACTTTGTGCTCATGTTTTGAATTCCTTATACTCCCAGCCTTAATGTATAGGCCAGAAACAAAGTCGCTAAAAGGATTGCGAAAGATCACTCAGCGTTGTAGAACGCGTAGTCGAAAGGACGGTGCTTAGTGTATGTCGCATCACGGAAGTAAAAGAAGGGATCCGAAGCCCGGACCTGCATCACAGGTCAAAAATCAAAGATGCTGTTCTATACACCAAACTGTCGAAGATAAGGCAGGCTCGACAAGTAATGCTTATGAACGACAAGCGGTGGGCAAGAGCCGTTAGTGATTGGATTCCTCGGAATGTCAAACGTACGGCAGGAAGATCACCAACCCGATGATCAGAGTTCCTAACGGAAATCCTAGAAGCTAAAGATGCTCGAGTCTTTAGAGTGAGCAGAAGCCACTGCGTTAGTCTTGCACATATAAGGGAGAAATGAAAGATTTACCGGCACCACTCGATTCAGTCGACGATCAACAGGACGAGAGGTGATACAGGTTATTTTGAACACACCAGCCAGAAACCACACAAATCAACAAAGTCAGGAAGTGAAAATTGCTTTATTTTAAGTAAAACAACAAGCAACGAGCATTTACTGAACACAACGAACTGCCGGAAAGCGAGGGATTATGTGTATGACTGATTTGAACTGGTGCACGAAACATCACCAAAGGATCTCATTTTGAAAACAACCTACTTGTAAACTGATTAACTCCTTTTCATGAGTCAACAATAATCGCGCAGGATTGCACACGATTTCTATTCCATCGGTGATTTGTTCGTTGAGCAACAACTTCTTTGCTTGGGACCGAAGGCTGTGCTAGGGTTATTCCATTTTGTCATGCTTTGCTTGTTAATGATTACGTTGCTGTCAGGATCGGATGGATTCTTAGCTTCCCTCAATTCCTAGCTGCACTTCGGCACGGAATTGCCGAAATCCTCAATTTGGAGATGCTGCTGGACACCCCCGTCCTACACCGCGGTTAAGATGCAAAACCATCCGTCATGATGATGAGGATTTAAAAAAGATCATTTTATTTAAAAAAAACTTATAGATCATTTCAAAAGTATGCTTCCACTGGAAAGCTTACCTATTTGTTGGGCATTACAAACTAAGTCCCAGTATCTTGATTGATATGATATACAGTCTCCAACAAACGGATACTTCTATGATACCTTTGGGCTCGTCGACGTGTATGTGACTTCCATCTAAAGGTAGCATGAGCACTTTTCAAATACAGAGAAAACACAGATGGCGCTTGTTTGGACCCTTCTACATTCGTTAGAAGATGTAAAGTTCTGCGCACAGATTTTAAGAAAATACTCCACAACATACCCTGCCTTTACTTGTTTCCAATGTCTAGCATATTCAGAACGCAGTGCATCCATATCGGCAGGATTTATGCTAGAATCAAATTGGTCAATATTTGCCTTATCGGGCCATTCCGACTCCTCTGGGTACGGTGAGCGGGCGCGTGGTAGTGCTACAATGTCTCGCATGACGAGTAGATCCTTGAACAATACTTCAACAGCAATAGAAACAAAACTATGTAACACATAGTAATTTAGTATATTATTGATATTTTCACTTCATGACCTTCACATATATGAAAAATGGGTCCATGATCCAGAAATGGGACGCAAAAAGACGGTTAAACGTAATTAAAAAGCAAATTTTCTGCCCGACAACGCAGAGTCTAAGAGGTAGACATTGATTCTCCATTTTTGGACTGACGTAACATTGTCTTACTATGCACGGATACCTCCCAAACTAAGATTCCGGTCCAACATGAGGAGATGAGCGAGACACTCGTGTGCTCATCTTCAACTTTAATGACATATTTCGATAAAAAGCTTGTACTCAGTATCTAGCACATTCAGCCAAAGCACACTTAAGTGCATCTCCACATAATAATAAAACGTCTTAAATCAAAACAAATTATTATAAAATTGTGCCGGCCCAGCGTATACAAGTGGTATCAGCAAAAGGTAGCGAAGGTCGAACACTAAAAAGCTCGACTGAAGAACAATAGAATATTTTGACCCTTGTTCTGTACTTCAAAAAACGTTTAAATGCCGAATACAACAACAAGCTTTCTTCCTAAAGTGAACCACATGGGTAGAAACGCGAATGAAAGCAAGCCTTCACGAACTGCGTTGCTTACGCAGCTTATGCACTGGCATACAGCGACTACTAAAATGAAACCGAAGTATTAATTAAACACTGATGTAGTAATGTAAGCCTCCATACAAACTATGCCCGTTATGTAGGAACATAAACTACACGCAGTGTAGAAATCGCAAAGGCGTTCAGTACAAGGAACAAAACCCATATACAACGAAAACTATCTTCTGATGTGCGTAACGAGCAAAAGTCGGAACCATAGGTGGGCTCGAAATCCGCGATTACCATTGTCGGGGTGTCACCTGCTTTCCACTAGCTGGGTTTGTCCTTTCCGGACCACCCTCGTTGAGGAGTGATTGCTGACAGCACCGATAGAGTAGAAAAAAGCGGCTGATAGAAAGGTAGAGCAAGGACCTCGGTTGATGTGGTGGATAGCACGTGAGCTCCCGGTAACGGTAATCGCAAGTTGGATGCCCAAGTGAGGATCTGTGTTTCACTCATGTCTCAGCATCCTTATGGTTGCATTTCACATAACACGCTGTAATGAAAAAAGAAGAGGCAGTAAATGAAAGTGAAGACACTCTGTGGTTCAACATCTCAGGATTATAGCAGCACTGAAGGTACCACTGAGTCAACTTTTCTCAAAGACATGAGTGCTGCACATCCGTTTCTTTTCTACGTGATCTCTCCACGTCAATGTTCTCTGTGATAAAATCGAGATTCAATGCCGATGAAAATTTGAAGTTGGAACATGAATAGAACAATGATTATCCACAAAACTGGTCGAAGTCGCAAAGTATACTAAAATTCACTCTTAAACATCCTTTTACGTCTGTTTCCCAGGTCACCGTGATCGATAATTTTGCAAACAGTCGAAAGCGATTTGAAAAAGTTCCGGAGAAAAACATGAAATACACATACTCCTCGTTTTAATCCGAGGAATCTTACCAATGAAGCATCTCCAGGTGGCGATGGAGCCATCTGCGGTTCACAAGGCTCAGAGCTTTTACCACGAACCCATGCGCGACAGAGTTGGTACATTGAATCTTTCCGTCCATCACGAAGCTCAAATGGTTTCCCGCGCAATTCGAACACCATTTCTGGAAGTTGACACAGACTAACTCAAATACGCCTTGTATAGAACACTCCACACTCGAATGTCTCATAGGCACTCGAAATTTTGTTAAGAAAAACATTTCAGATGACAACATACTTGCTTGCTGCTCCAAAAAAAAGAACAGAAATGTCCAAAAATTCGGAATTTCTATTTTTGGTTTTCAAAGGAAACTTAGTTCAAGCTAAGTACAGTAATTGTTACATAGCGGTCACCAGACATCCACCTGATTCTAGACTTTTGCTGTCTTAGATACATATGCATATATATATATATATATATGTTTTTATACATACATAAATGACAAGTCAGTAACATCACTCACGTTTATCCTTATTCTGCACCTTTCTAGGGCGTCCAGGTCCTCGACGATGTTCGTGCAACTCCTCCCTTACAGACAAAAATGTGTATATTACATTTACATAAATCCACCTATATTATATAATATATACTAATATTTTAACAAATCTTTTAAACTCATTCAACCACGACAATCATGCCCAACGAATTTTTTCCACTGTCACTTCTACTCACGTCTGTTTCTTATCTATCGGATTCAGCCATGGAGTTTCACCCTGTCGAATAGATGTTAAGAGTGTTCCAAGACGATTTCGAGCAAACTTCATATCAGGTGATTCCGGTGGAATCATCGAATCTTCAGCTATACGAGCCCTGCAAATAATAAGTTCTTTCTAGGGAATGAATAAATATTAAAGATTGGCCAATCAAAGCCATTACAACGCTAGCATAAAGAGAACACCAGAAACATCGACGAATGCAAGTTCTGGTAGAATTATTTCGAGCCATAGAAATAAAGACGAATACACATCCATTCATTTCACTATAGTTCCTTTCTCTCAAGACAGTATTTCTCAAGGTTACTGCGGACGATATAAGGTGAATGATATTCTCAGTGTTTTCCCAACCTTAATATTGCATTTTATGTTATGCCCCTCCAACTAATCTACAATAACGCTTGAAAATGAACTTTAGTAAATAGTTTGGTTTATATATTTCGGACCATCGCCTCGGATCATCGGCTCTGAGGAAGACGAAGACGTCGAAACGTTAGCCGAAAATAAATACCATTATCAACCTCGTGTAAGCTCATCAAAGAAAGAATACAGTTCGGTTTCTTTCAATTTTTCGTATTTTACGTCGAAGCCGACTCAAAGTTGATAAATTAGCTATGGAGAAGAGTACAAAGATGCGAGAATTATGCAGTAACATTAAGATTCCCTCTTACCAAAAACAACGTCGAACACAGAACACCCGCCATTTTGTTCGCGCAATCAGGTTTTCAAAAGTGGAAGCGCTGGTGCTGACAATGGCAGCCAAAGCGCCAAAAACGCCCTTTCGACTATGTTAAGCCAAAATTGTGCATGGATCATGTTCTACAAATATCTACACCATTGGTTGGATTACAACAGATTTATAGAAAACTAGTACGGAAGCTTAAGAGGATTTACTTCTTCGCTATGCAGAAACTCAACGACAACTAAATAACTGATTAGAAAAGATGCATGAACGTTGACAGAACACCTACGAAAACCTACCCAAACCGTTTGGTTGGTGACAATGGCGTGACAAATTCGCTCGACGGCACCATCTCAACTCCACTGCATGAACCAAGCAGCGATTCTTCCGGTATTACGTAGTCGTCAACCGCTTGTGGCATGGGTCCGAGATCCGGCTCCATTTTCGAGCAGAAATCCAAAAATCAACTGGTCTTCGAAACCGAAAAACAAGAATGAAAACATAATCCAGATACAAATATAGACAGCGATAGATATTCAATGGCAATGAACCTATTGCTAAGAGCATGAAGTGCACTGTAGCGAAATGATTGTAAAGGATTATAAACTCATTTGCTCCCACTTCACATGCAAAACGAAAACACCTCCTTGAAACTATTACATTACCGCAACAAAAATAACTCAATAAGTGTGGAATAAGTACACAACTACAGTAGGACAATAATACCAGATGAAAGTTTATGAACTGGTATGCTGCTTCATAGTTCAGACAACAAACAACAATTCCAAAAATCCATTCAATCGAGGGCAAAATGGGAAAAAAAAAGTCCTCTTCATCATTCTGGAGAATAATAGAGCCCTCAGACATTATCAAGTTCACATGAAAACCTGAATAATAGAGAACGACCACTAAAAAGGCTAAACATATTAAATTTTGGGAAGAATATAAACCTTCCTTCCAAGCGCTTTCAAAGATGTATTCAAATTTATTCGTTTCAAAAAATACAACTCGCGCTAATGGTGGTAATGAAACAATAAAATAAACAGCAACATCAACAGCCAGCAGTTCAGTATACGCATAGGTGAACGTACGACCTTAGTCTCGCTTTTGAGCCACGGTTCCTGCAATGCAGTAAGCCAGGAACGCTCCAACTGCAATGGTTGTCGAGTAGACAAAGCGTGCCAGTACCATCGACCAACCGCATAATGAAAACACTGAGGACAGCAGCCTGCGAAAGAGAACAGTTGGGAATAAAATTTCGATTAAAGTAAATTGAAATCCAGATGTAATTAAATTAAGAAAAAACAATGCTAGAAAGTTGTAAACTCGGCAAGAACTAATTTTTTATAAATTACGGATCAGCTGCCCCTCAATGCATACAAATATCAGTTTTTGACATAAAGGAGATTAAAAACCAAAAATGGAATTCTAGAGGTTCAAAATGATCATGAATAGTATGCTACGGTATATAAACTCCTGGAAAAGAAACCATGGTGCAGAAAATCCAGATACAAATATAGACAGCGATAGAGATGAAGTCATATTTGGCCTTTTAACTCTTATTCACTAAAGTGACTCTTGAGTGCATTTCAAAACTTCTGAATGAAGCTCGGTCTATGAAGAAAGCTGGACCCAAGATCAAATATCTGAACAAAACACACAAACATAGATTTTCTGTGCCAGGAATACCGGTAACCTGTTTTTCATTCACCAATTACAAAAACACTTCTTATGTGATTACCCTTACTTAGGTTTCCATTCGTAATGATTTATACCAAAATGAAACTGTTTCACGTAATAGGACCACGGCACTACGGTGAATACTGGGACTACTGACATGAAAGACCAACAGCAAGCTCGTAGAGGAACCTTTCAACGCAATCTCCCTCAATACATTGTCACAGTTTCTTGGTGTAGCAGATCGTTAACATACGATCTAAATTTGTACGTCCAACTTGACCTGATAGCAACTTAGGCAGTAATAAAAAGGATTCCCGTTTTTTTTTTTGATATTCTCTCAGTGGCTTACCACATCACTGTAGTGCATACCTGATTGTCGAACAGCTACGTGAAACAGAAACACGGACACCCAATCTGTGAATACGATTCGACAGTCCAATCCAAAAGCCTAGCTAAGAGTAAATTTATAGCAGGAATAGCCTTCCTCCCAAGAACCTATTTTAAAGCGGCAAAATCCAGTAGAAGGGGCAAGACTGACTATGACAAGGATCTAGGAACATAGTGGAATGGTTAGCCTGGAGTTAGCAAGAAATAATGGCAAATTTACATTGTGGATAACGTAAACGATTCTTCGTGGTGCAAGTTATCAAAATACATATATTCTTGATTGAACATAGAGTTGTTAATATACTACTTGCCGCAAAACAGCTGCTTTGATGGTAAACAAGTTACTAGATTTTAAATGGATTACATGATTAATGATTATATAATTACATAAACTATTAAAAAGGTGAAATCTGCAAAAAAGAAAAAAGGAAAAAAAGCTGCCATTGTGGCACAAATATAGCACTAACTATTAACTGTGGACTCATTGGAAACAAGAAATCTTTCGGAACAGCAGCCCGAATTCCATTTCTATGTCGAGGATTTTTCATAATGTTAATAAAGCGGCGGACAGAGTCCTTTTAAGATTATCGGAAGTACTCAAAAAGAAGTCAGGCATGAACAGGCACCCTCGAATAATATAAAGTCTTTGTTAAGTGGTTGACTCTCAATAAAACTCTAAAAAACTGAAAAGCCAGTTCTACTATGGAGAATAAAGACTATGAATGGAACAGGAGGATCAATAAACTTTGTTTGAAGCATATATGACGTAGAGAAAACAATATTACTAAATTAAAGTGGTTGTCAATTTAGACAAAGTTGAGAAATTGAAATAAATTAATAGATGAACTTACTGATAGACAAATGAGTGGAATACACACGCTGTAAGAAGTATGAATACAAAGTGTCGATTCGCTGTTCTTGTGCCCATCCATGTGAGGGCCGCCATCGCGACGAAGAGAAGCAGGTCCGACGATGAGTTAAGCGCCATTTGAATCCATCGCCATGAGAATGCGGACCCTCTAAAGTATGTAATCCTTCTTTGATAAGCTTACACGAGGTTAGCAAATAATTTTAAAACTATCACTAAAGTAAAATATCACTACCTACCTCTAAAGTATCACTAACAAGAAGTAAACTACGGAAACAAAGATATGTAGAGATTAACAACAAACTACAAGCAGTAATAGTCTGAAAACTTCGACAGAACTGTACCCCACTTCGTTAAATTCGGCTATACCGTTTATCGTTTCTCACTTTGCCTTGTTGCAAAAACGATTTAAATGGACAGACCTCGCTCCAACCCAGAATAGTACGAAGCTACTGGCTACAGAATGAGCAGCACCCCAACCCACGCCACCAGCCAAAAACCGAACCTGAACATTTTTGTGGAACGAAACTCCTGCCAAACTTATGAAGCCACCTCATAGTGGACGAAATAGTTCTGATGAAACTTTCTGTGAGCCGTTTAATAAAAGTAAAAAACATTATTATGATATCACTATGAGGTTATAGGCTTCAATAAAGCTACGGGGAATAACGAAAAAACGGACTTGTAGAGAACTCAAGCTAAAAAAACCAACTTCTCCCTTTCCGTTAAGCAGATGTGTCATTACTACATGCATTCCAATGATGTCAACAACGTCAGCACTACTTTTCAGTAGCTCCTGAAGAAATAACTCCTGAAGGAAGAAACTACCTTCAAATTGTAGACAAATAACGAACAAACCGGTAAAACAGAAAATCCTTCGGCATCTGTTGCCGGAAAGAACGTGGCCAGAAGAAGCAGCTTTATTAATTGCGTCAGGAAATACCCACCACTTGCTTGAGCACACCGCCAGATTGAGCTGTACTCATTTAAACCTGAGAAATCACAAAACAAATTATTGTCAAGCATTACATTGGACATTAGCTGAGGATTTTCAGCTGGAGGGATTTAGTCATTTGGAAAGAAGTAACATTTTGCTCACGAGAAAAACCAACACAGTAGTTCACATCAGCATTTGTATGCCATATACGTATCTCATATCTTTACATCGATTATACTGATAATTGTACTAATTTGGGATATCCCATAAGCTCATTGAAACGAACAAAGAAACTTAACAAGTGAATTGATATACTAAAAGATCCAACACAGCAGAATACAGCCACAGTGATCCTGAAATATTTTCAAAACTTAGACCACTGAGGGTATAGTGACAGAAAGCCAGAACGAGGAGCTCAACGGCACCGTGCGTAAAACGTGCTCCCCAGAAAGGGTAATCGCGGGTTCGTCTGGCCTGAGGTTAAAGTTTCGCAAATGTCTTAGCAACATTGTGGTTGTATTTCACATAATACCATGCCGTGGGAAGAAAATAGTAATGACAGTAAATAAAAAGTTATACTTACCGGAGTATTTGTAGGCAATGAAATACGGGGCATATGCCAACGCTACACAGTTGACGAAGTGAAAGAAAGTCATAGTCGACTGAAGTAGGTAGAATTACCTGAAAAGGAAACGTAGAAACAAAACCGGCGCTATAGTATGAATCGGTATCTAGTGGCTGATCGAAATGGAAAGCGCCCACATCAACAACGACTCGCTCTGAAGAGTTTTTAGGCATTACAATCTCCACTCGACAAAATAGAAATGTCAAAACCTGAGAGGCTAAGGTCATGATGAAAGCAAAACTAAAGTCAGTTTATCTTTGTTCACTACGAAATCCACACAATTCTGATTCTAAACAACTAAGACTAAACATCTATTTCAACATCCAACAAGACTTCCTTACTAAAGGAGACGTCTGTGACAAATCCTGAAAAAAAAAGACGGCATCTTTCGGCGAAAAAACTAAAACGATACGAATGGATAGTAAACCACCGAGAAGGCTATCACGACATGTCACCACTACCAAAAAGACCATGCAGCTCCTTCAAAACAGATTTTATTTCATTCCTATTTCGCTCCTAATCTCCGGAATATTCTATAGCGCACTTTCTAGGCGCTTTCTAATCAATCTTATATGTACTCACACCACCCCCTAAGTAAAATCTAAGGTTATAATCAATACCTTGTTGGATTGCTAAGGCTTAAAAAGTGGTTAAAGAGAGGTTCTAAAGCTACATTCGAATGATGGACATGTACTTCTATGTACTCGCGAATAATATACAGAACGAATGACTCCCTACATGGAGAGTAAAGAAGAGAAAATACAGTGAAAAAAGTAAAAGTAAGTACTAGGTACTGTCAAAGTGCAACCAAGTAAATAAAAGTAAAAGTACTAGAGTAAATTGAAACTCCGGGAAAAAGAAATCATCGGCTAAAAACCGATATTTCGGGTCCATAACATGAAGGATAAACGATAAAGGATAAGAGATAAAAGATAAAGCTCTCGGCGTTTCCACGGCACAAAATTGTGAAGTAGAACAACATGACATCGACTTTGCCCTTGGTAAGTCTGATCAGCATGGGAAGGAATTGCATAGAAACTCAATAAACGGAGAGCTACTAATACAGCAAACATAAAGAATAAAAAGAATAAGGCTCTAGGCGTTGATCAACTCTTAAGGGATGCGCCATGCCTTCGACTCTCTTCGTAGCCTCGATGAGGTGATTGAATGCATATCTGGCCTTTGCAATGAATTACGGCGGCCTACCAATGTACAACCAGTGCTGCTATCCTCCCAGACAACTCTGGTACCAAGTCGCCGACCCCAGGGGAATAGAAGACTTGGTGAGCCTGGTGCGTGAGAACGAACCCATGCGTATTGCTGGGCGCCTCTAACCACTGCGCCCAAGGCGCCCTAGTTCATTACGTACTACGCAAAAATACAGACGGCAAGAAGGCTCTAGGTCCCTAGTCGCAGCTACCTACTCCTTCCATGTGGTGTTTTTCTTATGATTCCGACTATTTTACTTGAATCTCGTCAGGAACTTGGAGAAGAATGTGTTCTGTATAATCCTTAGGAAGTTTTAGAAGAATGGGATTACTCTTACCTTAGAAAATATGGGTAATACGCATGGAACTTCGGCAAATGGTCCCATTATTAGCGTCGAGGATGCCAGAGCACATAGTGAGTTCTTCGTTATGAATTCATATATTTTTATCAACCAGCAGTAACTGTACACTAACGGCTGATTTTATTATCTGGTCCTTTCCTATGTTTTTTTTCTTATGTTTTCTTCTTGTGATGATTTCACTGGGGCCATTTCACTCCAGAAGTCCTTATTTCCTACATTCATCTTCTTTGCAGTTTCTGATGAGGAATATCGAAGACTTAAAGCTGCTTTTTCGGGTTTCAAGAAGCAATTTATAACTTACGATGTGAGCGATCCACTTTTTGTTGGCATAAAGGTGAAGATTTAATTTGTAAGCCCGTCTCATCCAGGAATTCTGCTACCACGTTCTTGGTGGTGCTCGTATTCCAGAGGATATGCAAAGGGAGCTGTTCCTTTTTTGCTCCCGAAATGCGGAAACGCTTTCCTTTGAGAACCTTCTAACAGCTCTTGTAGGGCTATGCCGTATTGAACAAGTTCAGGAACGTGAGTTAATTTAATGATTGTGGTTTAGTTAAATAAGCTTCACTCTTCGTAAAAAAAAAGGTCTATGATTTGCCCTCGCTTACTTACTTGTATACGTGGAAGACCCTTCTTCACTCACTGTGCGGGCCCCAGCATAATTTACCTTGTTTCGGAGTTTTCCTGGTTTAGCCATTGTGGTTCTCTCAAGTCTCGAGGGCACCCAAGCCAAAGTCTGCTCCAGGTCGTCACCACCACAAGTAGTCGGTGCCCTTGTGGATCAGAGAAAGATTTGCCACCATGCGATAATTCGATACCAGGACGGTGCTGGGTCCTGCTATTGGTTTAGTTTTAGCTGGGTTTCTTGGCGGAAATGGAGGACTCCTCAACTTGGGGGAACCTGTTAGGGGGATGGATGCCCTCGTTGTACGTCGTAACCCAGCCACGATGAGGCGGTAAGCCGTTGAGAGATTGATTTACCCTACTCGGTATATATTATCCATGTTATTATTGTATTATCCTATCAATTTTTACTTGTCAAACCATCTCTAGTTTATAGTGATTTTTGGGAATACGTGTGGTTTACTACAGCATTTGTTTCGAAGTCCATAAGTTGAGATAGGACGACTGAAGTTTTTGTCGTTCTCTTTTTATATATGGACCATTACCAGTCACGACATTGCGAAATGCTTCAGATTTTATTGAAGAATGCAAGGGCTTTGCTTCTTGGGGTCTTCGGCCGCCGCTGCTAACGATTCCAATGAGCGATTCGTACATCTCATTTTATGAAGTGATGTCTTACGTCACACACTGTGAGTTTTGTGTGCTCATTCTTCTTTGTTTAATAGTGGATCACTATAGCCGTTACTCTAGAACGTAGCCTCTTGAATATTTTAAACATCTGTCGCTCATTTCATTCCCAAAATATTTCATTTCTACGGAGCGTTTTCAGAATTTCCAAATTTTCGTTGTAAGTAGTTGATAAAAACACTATTCATACATTTCTCTCTCTCTCTCTCTCTCCGTCTGTGAATTTCGTAACATAGTTGTGAAATTGCAGTGTCTGTTGGTGAGGTAATGGAACTGGAAAAGGTTTTCGCTACGATCAGTGATCGCTCTGTATGTAAACTTTCCAAAGACCGCTGGGATGCAGCTCTATGTGGTTGTTTTCCAAGAAAATTTTCCGATCAGTGAGTTTTAAAACGAATCTCTTTATACAACTTTAATCGACACCTTAAGGCTTAAAACATTTCTCAGGTTGTTTCGCGTATTCGACGAGAATAGAGATAACCAAATAGATTTCCGCGAGTTGGTATGTGGTTTGTCAGCAATGTGCCGTGGACCATTTCCAAGTCGATTATCCTGTAAGAATCACATTCATGGACTCCATATATATTACCACTTTTGGAAACGAAACAGTGTTTATGGGATCAGTCTGAGGCTGTTTGTAGTTCTTGCGAAGTTATGGGATGAAGATTGCGATGCAATGCTTTCGGATGCCGAACTTAAGGAAATGTACGCCGATTTGAATGTGGTGAGGCCTTTAATGAGCACATTTCCAATACACAAATGAATATATTTGCGTACATGTAGCTCCTTATAGTGGTCTAAATTTTTGTGAACAGTGTACTTCCAGCCTGAAGGTGATAGGGCGGTGGCTAAGAGTTCTGGTGAGAAAGCGGCTGTAGCGGACTTTGCCACATGGGCGAATGAAAACGAGTACTCTAAGGAGTACTATGCAATGGCCATGGAAATAGGCCATATTTGCCTGGGACTTCGTCCAGAATCACATCGTGTTGGTTTCGCTCTTGTCAAGTGGGTTTGGCCATCTCAATGTCTTTCCTTGCTTGTTACTTCTTACGTGCTTATCTCTCCACCATATGGTTTTAGATAGATTAGGACTGAGAACCTTTTGTAGAGGAGCGAAATAAAAGAATATATCTAAATCTGAAAATAAAAACTTGTATGTCAAATTATTATGTAGCAATTTAAGAAGCAATGCTGTTATCATGAAATTACTTTTCAGAACTTTCAAAACACATAGTGTGTCAATAAATTCTTGGTGCTTTACAGTTCTTTCGAATATCGTTCGAAAGGTTTACCTCTTCCTCAATGGAGTATTGTGTCTTCTGTATGGCATAATGCTTGGAGCAGGGCGGCGTCTGAAGGAAAGCCACCACCACCAGTGGACAACTCCGCTATCAAAGGTGCTAAAGCGGACGATGGATGGAGTGGAAAGGTTAGCCTTACATGTGATGTGGTCTTTCGTTATTTTTTTTTTTTTGGTTGGAATTGCTAATGAAAATTGTCTTCATTGGTAGCAAATTTTCTATTAGTAGGTGTAGAATATTTTTTGTACTGTGTTAACTTTGAGGTTGCTTGCTTGTCGCTAGAATCAGCTAATCTCAAGGTAGATCTCAATCCAGAAGATTATATCGCAGTCCCTCCTGTACTGTGGAGAGCATGGCTGCGATGGCATGGAAGTGCACAGTCGGTGGGTTTATGTCTAAATAAGTGTTTCATAAATTCGAATTGCTTGGAGTGCAGTCGTAAGAAGGGGATCAAACGGTTCGTGTCAAGGCCTTCTATTCTTTCCTAATTCAAGGTTTTTTGTAGTTTATTTTAGAGCTTTTTTTGCTTCCATTTTTTTAGGTTGATGGTCAATTCACACGTAAGAGACTTGGCGGTGAGTTTTTTCCTGATGGAAAGGAATCTCTAGAACTTTACCCGATGGATATTTTACTGCTTGGTCATGATAAAAAGAAAACGAAAGACATTGACGGCATACAGCAGCTGTCACCATGGGCATGTGCGCAGGTACGTTTTATTTAGCTTTGTTATAGTTAAGTGGCATAATTGAGGTATAAACTCTACATGGTTTTCTTGCGTGGTAATTAGTACAAAGCATAGTTCCAGGTTTCCCGAAGTTGCACTGTGGACGAATTACTACAGCTGTGCAGAAACGAGCTTCGACTTGGTGATGGGGATGCTAGGTGAAGAATGGTTTTTATGTATAGAATGATCATTTAAGCCATTGGCTGTAGGTTATGGCTAGTTGGTGATGAAGGTAACACTCTACTGGACGACGGGAAAAGAACATTACATGAGCTAACAGTAAAGGGAAAACGAGTCAATAAGGTTAGATATCTTGAATAAAGACTAGAATAACAACAGAGTTTCATATTTCATCATTTTTATTATAGTTGGTTTTAGTTCCTACTCGAGCTCAGGGATTCTAACGGAGTATGGCCAGAAGAATTGCGAGCGTCGTTAACAGGAACTCAAATATCATCGCTAGCTTGTACTACTGGTGAGTTTTTAAGGATCATTGAAGTTGTTCTCATGTATTGACTTTTCTTTTGACTTGATTTTGATTTCTGTCTTACCTTTCTAGAAGAATTAAGTTGCATTTTTCGTGCTGATTAAAGCGTTTAGTTCTCTAATGGGTTGTCCAATAAGTTTGTTCTATTTTCGGGAGTCTGTATGATGCAATAAATGGGATTGCTTTCTTCGTTTTTATCATTGCCTCCGGGTGATTATGAACTGTTAGCTGCACATAACGGGTTGCCTGCCTACATTCTAATTGTTTGGCGATTGTTTGCTTAAAGAAGAACACTTGGATGCTCTTCTGCAACCCATAGGCCCAAAAAATTCTAGAAAGATAACACTTCTGAAGTCAACATTTTTCTAGACATCCATCGAATTTGATGAGACTGTAGTTATTGACCTCATAGAGAGTAGAATTCTGTCGTTTTCTGTTATGGTCAAACAAAAACATTCAAACTTCAGGTCGACCTGGAGCCGTTGGGTTAGTAAATTCAGGAAATTTTTGTTATCGAAACGCAGCCATACAGTGCCTGGCTCGTGTTTCTCCTCTGACGGAATATTTACTAAATGAAGCGATCTTGAATGCGTTGAAGAGGTCAGTTCCTATATTTTCTTCCTTTTTTGAGCTGCTTTGCTAGGTTGTCAGTTTCTTGTGTTCTTTTAGTTTTTTCTATGTGTTCTTTTCCTTATCTCTTCTTCATGACTACTTAGAGGAGATGCTAACAATAATGCGTCGTTCGCGACAACATTGGAATATTCAAAACTGTTGAAGGAGATGTGGTCAACGAAGAATAAGAACATTTCTCCTAATAGATTCAATGTAAGTGACGTCTTTTTAATCATTTACTGCAAAACGAATGTTCCGTTGAAAGACGTCTATGTCCCCTATCGTTGACTCTGTCGTCTCTATTACGAAAACATTAGAACAAGTGAGCATATTTTACACGTGAATGAAGTCCCGATTTTAGATAAGGTAGAATTTTAAAGTTTCGAACAACGAAATTGCTTTTAAGTCGCTAGGATAGTTAAAAGAATAACTTGTTCTCTGTTCCTTTCTTTTTTCTTTCTTTCTTATTTGGTCATAGTGCCTCCTATTCCCACATATGTGCTGTACACTAATCCTCATCACCCTGATTATTTTTTTCTTCAGGAAGCCGTTCGATTTGCAGAACAATTCGATGACGGAGAGCAGCATGACTGCCAAGAATTTGTATCTTTTCTAATTGAACGATTCCATACCTGTGTTGCTAAGATGGAAAACCAGAACTCAATTACTGATGGTGGGAGATCTCATGAAAGTGGAGAAAGTGGCAGTAACGAGGCATCCTGCGGTAAAGATGAAGCCAGTGACGCAGGTAAAACGGACGAGGAAAAAGCCGAGAAGGTGAAATTTGGTACTACTGATTTTTAAGATATGTCGTTATCCAGAAGACGACGCTGTTATTAGGACAACGTGTTTTTCGGAAGTAAATGTTGTTACATATTTTTTATAACGAAGTATCATTATTAATACTACTTTCCTAGGCGTGGGAGGACTACATTCGAGACAATAACTCACTGGTTACATCACTGTTCTCAGGTTTATATGATTTTGTACCTGGGAGATTTACTTTGGGCCATTTTATCACATTTGTTAAGAAATTCTAGGCCAACTACGCTCACGTCTCATCTGCCGTAAATGCAAATCTGCTTCATCAGTATTTGAAGTTTTCACATCACTGAGCCTTCCAATCGGCTTTGAAAATGTGGAGTTGTACCAAATTACTGGTGAGTTGACAACTTTTCGACGATGCTTAAGCCGTTTTGGTGCCGTTTGAAACGGTCTCGGTGACCAAAACAAGCGACGACGTTTTGGCTAAACATAGTACGCTGATATTATATGGATTGCAGAGTCGAAAGCAGACCGGCTTAGACAGGATAGTGCTAAACTGTTTTTTCACCAAATGGAAATCCTGGAGTATATCAAAACTATCTACATACTATCTCGAGTTGTTGCAGATCACTTATTTTGAAAGAAATTATTTGAAGGGATGGATCCACTTCGATCTAGGAGGATATGAGATAAGAAGGTCCCAAGCAGCAAATATATCATCAGTGGAAAATCGGAAAGACAATTGGATAGAATGGTGGACCGACTGAAACGCGTTGAAATGTTTTAAAATAGTCCTTTTGTTCTTGGAGAAACCGCAGTAAACTAGATAACTATAGTGAAATAGTAGTAGAAAATCAATTGCGTATTCTTAAACGTTGATTCGAGCAATAGTGCACTTCGAAAGAGCACTGCGTCGCCATTTCTGACAAGTTGCCGCGCATCACACCGGCCGTGAAAGATGGTTTCCAAAGAAAGGGAAGGAGATCCAGGATAGTTAATGTGTTCGATTGCATATCCAGAAAAGAATGAGATCTGATCAATGAGACAAAATATGTACAATGTGTACTGGTGCATCCGTATGGCGCGTGTAGCGCAATGGTCAGAGGCGCCCTGCATCTCCCACCCCAGTCCCACCAAGCTTTCCATCCCTCCAGGGTCGGCAAATTGGTACCACACTTGTCTTGGAGGATAGAAGCGTTGGCTCAACACGTTGGCCACTACGAGTCGCTGCAAAGGCCAAACATGGATTCAGTTACCTCCAACGATGCTTAATGACGTCGAATGCATGGCGCATTACTTAGAGATTGATCAACACCGAGAAGCTTTATCCTTTTTACTGGTGCAACTGGAAGAAATTCGTTCATGTCCTAAGCGTGACCGTGGATATCTTTTATGGTATGCTGCATGGACATGCCTGTGCTTGAGTTCATTAAGTTCACTTTTGTTCAATGGAGAATTCGCTTGAACTGTATCCACATTTGTCTTGTCTATGAGTAAAATTTTAATCTTTCGTTAGACAGAAGATCCGTAGTTATTGCCGTACGTTGGCACTGTTAACTGGAGAAAGGGGAAACCCGTTCGTGTTCACGAGCCATGTCTTCATGAATTCCTGTCAAACTATGTATTACTGGAAGTATTTGCGGAACAAAGTCGGAAATCTTATCTTCTACCTACTGCCTTTTCTTTTTACGTGGCATGACACAATGTGAAATGCAATGATTAGGATGCTGAATGCTAGAATCGCAAGTGTTGGGCTCGAGTGATGGCTGACAGATGTGGAAATGGGGTCAGAAAGGGATCTAAAGATATCTCACCAATCTAGGCAGGATTGTAGAAGCGAGTCTGCGATTGTGTTGTTACATTAAATAATGCGGTCCAGATCGGCAAGGGCTGAATGTTCACGCTTAAAATTTACACAGATTTGTTAGGGTGGTCACATAGGCCTAAACATTGCTGAGTGAAAGAGGTTAGAAAGAGAGGAGTGTAAAGAGGAAACACCAAGACGGTTAACCGAATCTTTTTCGTGATCGAAACTCTGAAGAAGGGTAACAAAAATCTGTACATTTTTATTACTTGAATAGCACGAGATTGTTGCAAGGATATGTTCTGTTTGAAAGTGAAAGTTTATCTTTATTGATAAGAATGTATCATAAAAATGTACATCCGTGCTTTCACAATATTACTTCCACATGTTTCCGCCAATGATTTCCAATTATTTTGCTTCTATGCGGCTGAGATATACGGGATCTGAAGAACGAAAAGTAAAAATATTATGGAAACATTAATTTAAGTGGTCCGTCGCGATGGAAGTGTACCACGCCGGTATGGTTTCCGACTACCACGTGAGTGTACGGTGGGCACATTCAAAGGTCTTGTCGCTGAGGCAAGCGGAGTGAGCCGAGACGCTTTGACTGTGCAGTGTCTGAGCAAAAGAGGGTGCTTCATGGTTGGTATACTTTTAATGTATGTAAAAATGTTGGCATGACATTGTTCTGTTTTCAAAATTTTTTTTATAGCATGAAATCAATTTCATTGCTCTAAATTTCACAATTGGTTTGTGAAGCGAATTTTTTGGAGCTCTGTTTTTTCCTTGATCATTTCTTATGTACCCGTATCCTTAGAATCCTTCAAATGCCGAAGACGGTATAGCGCTTAGTTCAGTACCACCTGGCGCACGTCTTTATGCACTTCAGCTTCCAGAGGATACTCCAGATTGGCGGGTTGCCATTCATCGAAAGTTGGTAGGTGTTAACTGAAATTTGGTAGCTATTACAGTTGTGAGTCTTTTGACTCACTTTTAATTCTAGCAGTATAACTATGAGCCATACTTTCTTGGTGCGACAGGAGGTTTCATAGTAACGCAATTCGGTCTGCCGCTCATTGTGCCATGTCCTCCGGATATCACCGGAAAGCAGTTATATGAGGATGTCATGGTTCAGGTTAGGTTTTTAGTTTGATAATATTCTGTTGGATGCTAAAGGAATGGTAAGCGAGAGTCGTACATAACGTCACTTCGTCTCATCTTTAACTAGGTTGCTGTCAATGACATAGGAAAATTTAAATCTTTCAAAAATTTTTCAACGTTTTATATCTTTGTAGGTCTGTGTCTATGTCCAGATCTTTATAGGTTTGAAGACTCGGAGAATAAATGAACATTTCTTTTTTTCGTTCGAATTGGACAGTGAGAATAAAAGACGGAAATTGATCAGTCTTTCCGACGGCCCTATTTTCTAGACGTCTATCCAGATGCCTAACTAACTCATTTTATGCCGGGATTCTCTTCTATTCTGTATGGTAATCAGCTGCGAAGCGGAAAATCTTCCCATAATCTATAATCGTCGTCATAAACCTGCTGTGATAATTGGAAGAACCTTGCACGGTAATCTGTGCTCAACAAACACTTCGGTTAAATAGAAAATATGCCAAGATTTTGATTGTATAGATGAACCACCATTCATTTCCAGTCACCAAGTATAACTTACCCTAGATAAATAAACTAACTCCTAGATGCGACGGTTCATGGACACATCATCACCGACGATATCTAGTCGTGCACATGATCCGTAAGTAGATGTATTCGTCGCATGTTCGTTGATTACTATTGTTGGCTTGTATTACAGTTCTGAGGATATCTCGTTCGGTTACCCATTTTCACTTTGCTTGGCTGACGAATCGTGGGAATGGTGTGGTCAGTGCCCGCCTCTGCGGTTTTGTCGCGGTTGCCTTATAAAACCGGACTCGTCTTTGGTAAGTTACAAGTATTAATAGTGTTCATGTTTGCATAACACCTAGAGGTTTTCTTTTGTAGGCAAATATACCAGAAAACTGTGGGATAGCTGTTGATTGGTTGCCAATTGCACTTTATCTCAAGTACAATCATTCTCAGGAACTGGTAGGTTCCCCATGAAATATTGAGTTTCCAAAATGTCATTCTCAAGTTACAAAGTTCTTGGGATTGAATTTTTCAGGCTTGCGAAGATGACGATTCGGTGGCAGAGACTTGGTCCCGCCACTTTGCCCCGTCGTCATTGGAGCATTGTCTGGAAAGGTTCAGTTGTCCAGAAACCTTAGACGCGTTGATTCACTGTGATAAGTGCAATGAGAAAACGAAGAGGGACAAAGTGATGACAATATGGAAGCTGCCGAGATATTTGGTCAGCAATAAGGATTTCGTTGCTGTTTTAAGTTCTGGACATCTCCAGCATTCTTCTACTCTGCAAACATTTGGTTTCGTTAACAACCTATTGGCAACTACGAAGAGCATAATGGCTTCTGTTTCACTGTTCAGTAATCCATTTCTGGATTCACTTCCTTCTTCGCTTTTCTTTCTTCTTTTGATTTTCCTTTTTCTGACTCTGATTTTCAAAAATTGGATCATAGGTCGATACGAGGCGACCTTTCAACCATCAAGAAATTGGAAGTCACTTGTAGTTTTTTTTTGTTGAACTCCTAATCAATTGGTAATTTCTGATGCCACAAATTTGCAACTTTGCAACTTGCTTATGTTCCTATGTTTCTAACCAATTATGAAATTCTTCTTTGATTTAATCAGTTTATTGTCCTTCAAAAGAAAATACCGCTCAGTGACTTTAAAAATGAATCATCATTCCTAGTTACTGAAGGATTTGTTCTCACTAAATCTGTACGATTCGGTGGGATTTTTCAGATAATCCACTTGAAGCGATTCGAGTTCCTACGGTATGAAAAACGAATGGGCAAGTGTAAACGTGTGATAACGTTCCCGTTAAAACAGTTTGATCCAGCATCGTTTGTGGACGGTAAGGGAGAAAGGAGCAAATACGAGTGCATAGCGATAGCCGTAGGTTTCTTCTAATTTTCACTTCTTTTTAAATCATTGTTTTGCAGTTATGAACATCAGGATCGTCGGTATGTTGGCTGTCTAGGCCAACTGAGATTTATCTCGAATTTTTGTTCATTATGAGCCACTTAGCTAATACAAACGAGAATTAGTGTATTGAAGAGTCGCAGTAGTGCAAACAGCCCTTGGTTTGACTTAATTGCATATTTAAAGGAGAATCCACACTGCATGATAGGTTGACTCAGGTCGTTTGCAATGGGTTAAGTCACTTGTCTCTTTCCAAGCAGTTCTGCTTTCTAAGATTGTAGCACATTTAGTACTACTTTGCGAGGGAATTAAATCAGAGTGATAATAAAACTTTGAATTGATAATTCACAAATAGCAACATAGATACCACCGTCGTGAAACTGCCGCTGATCGCTGTGATTTTGATTAGCAGCGTGAGCACCGACTTTCTAATTGTTTATGTCCCTTTTATAATGGATCGATCGTTGATAAGAGTTTTATTGTTTGCACTTTGAATAACATTACAGTATGAAAGTCTACTGTGTGAGAAGGTTCACCAAGGAAAACCAAGTTCAAAAGGATGTACTATGTTTGGAAGTTTTTAATGTTGAACTGGTTGAATAACCGAGCCAAGAGCTTTTTCTAATACAAGTAAGAGCTAGCGTAGGGTAGTGAGCTGTAACATGCACATTTTTTTTTTTGATTCCTTTCTATTATTTAAGATCTCATAATCCACCTTCCAAATTTTTACAATTGAAGCACACTGATCAATCGTCTGGCTTCAGCTTGTGTTGGTCACCCCTACATATACGGAAAAGCGATGAAGCTGTCAGTATTGATCAGTCCCTGAGGGATCCGCCATGCATTCAACTTCACTAAGCATCATTTGGAGGTGATTGAAGCATATCTGGTCTTTACATTGACCCACGGTAGCCTACCGATGTATCGAGCCAGTGCTGCTATACTTCCAGACAGGTCTGGTTCCAATTTCCGCCCCCGGAGGGATGGAAGGCTTGATGGGTCTTGGACCCGGTGATCGATCCCATACGTATTGCAGGGCGCCTCCAACCATTGCACTACGCTCGCCCTACCGTTAGATATTGTACGAAGTGTTTCCTTCATAGAACAAACACCATCGTAATAGAGAATCTCAGTCTGTTTCATTAACGCTATGTGAATTGTTCTAGGTCTTAGTTATATTAATTATCATTTGCCTTATTATTTTAACAATTCGACTTAGCTTCTTAATGAAAAGGTGCATGTTGAGTAGCCACCTTATACTTCCTTTTGTAGAATCATTACGGCCAGCTGTCGTCTGGACACTTTGTCGCTTATGCTCGTGGAAGTGGCGACAAGTGGTTACTACTAAATGACTGCTCCGTAAAAGTAAGTGCAACTTTGGAAATAGTAAAAGCTTTCATTATTGCTGGTAAAGTTTGTGCCTATCTAATTGTTCACTGTGATGTTGTAGTTTTAGTTGTTCACTTATTTTAAATTATATTTATTTATGTGGTCTTATAAACTGATCTTCTTAAGTTGACGCGAGGTTGGTAGAGATCTTCGTTGTCGTTGTCGTTGTTTTTGCCAACCTCGCATCGGCTTAGGAAGAACAGTTTATAAGTTCACATAAATAAATATATCAACTATCTATGCCGAGGTTTATAGAAAGTCGGTCTTTCGAGTTATTTTAAATTAGTTCTGAAATTCATATTGAAAGCACCTGTACTGGGAAGTGTTGTATAATAAGGAGATGACTGAATAAAGCTCAATAAACCTATTATCGTGTGGTGATGTCCTGGATGCTTGAGCTATAGTGCACAATAGAATCATTTTATAATTTCCTTCGTATTTTTGTTGAGCAAACGCGAGGTGTTACTATTCTTTGTTCACGATTAAGCTGACGTTTAGGCGGATTTCGCCTTCTTCAGAGCCTGGAAAGGTCAAGTTGATAGCAATCTACTCGGCCAGACGCCTCCATAACCAAACAAAGAGTCTTGAAACAGCCGTACTGGAGCGTTCCAGCGTGAATTACAGGGCGTCATCATTTTCCAGAAAACTTTGGTACCGAT